CTGTGCCTAGGATCTGAGCACTGCCAGCGCAGCCTCTTCTTCCTGAGTTAGATGTTCACAACTGTTTGTAATAAATTTCAGTGTCCTTCATTTTAATCCTGTATACCTGAAGGAAGTAATTTAGCATTGCCTCTTGGTTTAATGGGCTGCTCTCTGTTTAAATGACACCCTTTCTGGGGATGAAGCGTAAAGGAGAGAAGAAAAAAAATGAAAAACAATGAACATAAATATTTAATTTTATCCTCTTGGTTGTTAATTTTCTTAATCTTTTATAAATACATGAATCCTTTTCTGATCTCTAGGACCCAGTGAATGTTAAAGTCATGACAAGAATGAGCTTTCTGTTGACACAACAGATTCATGTTATATAAATATTTAAGACATGAAAATATAGCTATGATTTGACTAAGGAAAAAATAGGATAAGAAGTTACACATAGGGAATGATGATGGCTGTTATCGCACTTGGCGGCCATGGTCCTTGCCATGTGAATGAGAGGAGAAAGAAACTAGTTTCTCAGCCTTAGTCCCTGGATGTTATTTCTGGCATGAGCAGTGCAGTGTGCCACGACGTGGCTGTTACTTAACCGACGGAACAATGGACTGATCCACCAGTTGACTCTTATTTGGTCCCTCTTGTGTCAACCCTTCATCTGTAATTTCAAAATCTAAGAACTATGGGAAACTAACAGTATTTTTTCTAATTATTTGGTGGAAAAACCAAACCTGAAGTGATGAGAACATTTTTTAAAATAGTCTTTATCTCATATAGTTTTCAGTTATCTAATAACAAAATCAGGTTTTTACTCTATAAAATTTAGAATTGAGGTCCTTCTGGCTCCAAAGATTCATGAACATCAAATTAATTTCCTGCTCAAAATACCTTTTCTTTGCTTGCTGTGAGAGTTTAAAATAGTTACTAAAATAAGGCATATATACAAACATCAAAAGTAAAAAAAGCATATTGTTTGAGCATGTTTTTAACTGTGTCTATTTCAGTGGATAAGTCCTATTATATAGACAGATGGTTTGAAGGGTAAAAGCTATGGCTTAATGTAGGCAAAGAAAACGAACAGCGGTGAAATTTAATAAATATTTGATGAGTCACATCTAACTCTCTGTGTCAGGAGGGAACCAAACATGTCTTTGTTGGGAAATCCTGCGACACTATACTGTATTTTCACCTGGCAAGCAATACTGGCACCAGAAGTCACTCATATTCAAGTGCTTCTTTCCAGAATGGTAACACTGTGATTTATCTTTACAGAATCTAGGAAGTGGCACATCTTAAATTTAATGCATTAACTCTTTAGCAACCTGAATCCTGGGGCAAGGAAAAAAAAGTTACATTTTGCTCATCAAGAAATCAAGGCAGTTTACAGCTCTTTTTGCTGTTGTGCTGGAGAATGCCTTGGCTCAGAAGTGTTAGCATGAGATTCAGTATAATGTGGGACATAAAACCAATAATTGAAAGAACAAGGCAGATTGTAATCCAATGCCAATTCATGACTAGACATGGCATACTACAGGAAGAACAAAATGATACTGGAGTCAGGAAGCCCTTCTAGGAAAGACTACAATAGCCTGTTGGCCAGGCTACAATGAGTGAATGATATACTCTAGAAAAAAGGGAAGAAGGATTTCCAGGCCAGGAGACCACTACACATGAAGAAAAAGATTACATGGCCAATGGGTTTGGTGCATTTAAGGGAAAGCAAAGTTGGAGATGTTTACTTTCTGTCTTTAAACAGTTAAATATTTAAATGTTTAAATATTACCCTAAATCTAGATAAAGAGGAATTTCCAAGTCAGGAAAAGAAATCTAGATTCTATTCTCTCATCACTGTAATTCAACTCATGTCTCATATCATTATTTATTCCTTTGTTGCTTTATCTTCCAGGGTTAAATTGCAACCGAAGTCATAGATACATACAAAGCTACAGCAAAAACTGCTGTTGGCTCTTGTCCTTGGTGGTTTCTAACTCAAATCTGGCTCATAATTTCTCATGATGATAGTGAAATTTCAATTTTTGTGCTTAGTTTTGAAAATGTATTTGCTTTGTGTGTTTGGAAGTCTATAGTCTTAGCCCTTAGGAAATACATGTGTCATTTATTAATTATAATGGCTGATACCTATGCTCACCCTCTATCTTTTTTATTGTTCTCCAGACCATACATAGAGGACAGCTTCTGAAAGGCAATATCTGGTTCTTACTTCAAGGTGAGTGACAGAAAATACAGCCAGAAGGAGAGACGTCGTAAGTCAAAGAAATGCCTGTGGGACAAGAGTGAGGTAAGAAATCTGGAACAGCAAGGAATTTTCTCACTCCTTTTTGCCTTCAAGGTAGAGTGATGACTATTTAGTTATTGAGAGATAAGTTATTCATTCTCTGTCTTTATTATTTCCTCACGAGTCTGTAATTTTTGAGGGTTACCTACTCTAATTATTACTATGTTCCCTTTGTCTGTAAATTGATACTAACATGGAATTTCATAAGGCTTCTCCAATATTCAGATAACTTAAGAAACTATGACATGTGATCAGTATTTAGATCACCTTATGAAAGCCTTTCCCCTGCTTCATTGTATGTGATCATCTAGCTTATCACCTCGATTTTGCCCTCCTTCATAGAAACATAAACCTATCTACTGATGGTTTAAACTTCTCTACCTTGTGTACATTTTATGTTTAGTTGCCACAGATCTTTGTACTTTTGAAGACTGTTCCTTAGATAATGTGTCCTTGGCATAGTGGAACTAGATAAATTTTGAGCATATACCGAGTACTTTTTTAAGGAGGTGGTGGTTAAGGTATTGATCTTATCCCAGAGTGATACTAAAGTACTGAAAAATACATAGTCAAGTTCATTTTCCTTGTTATGCATCATTTTACCAAAATAGCACCAACTAGAGGCCACATTTTTCTAGGAAGTCTCCCTGCATATATTCTGAGATGCAGTATAGAATGGTAGTGAAGCTCCAGGGGACACCTATATTGTTAATGGCACGCAATAAACCATTCATGAGAGCCTTCAGAGGTTTCCCTTGGAATGGTACCAGATTTATATAGATTTCCTTTTGGAGAACCTTGGATATTTGATATACAGTAAAAAGGCATGGATGGCATAAAGATGTTGAATCTTTTCAGCCATTCTATTTTTCCCATCTGAGAGAACAATTCTGAAGTCCTGTTCCTGATATGGCCTCTAAGCTTTAATGGGAACTTGCTTCAGAGATCAGTGGTTGAGTCATACTCAAACCCCACTGAAAGCATTAAGTCTACAGATGGCCGTAAGAACTTTCAACTGTGTGTCCAGTGGACACCATCACTATTGTTGGTCAAATGCTTTTCCCCACTTCCCCTAGCTTAGGCTATGTTCTCTTTCTCTCCATGGTTCAGAAAGCAACAGGCATGATGTATTTACCCAGAGAACATCTTTCAATATTTCCTCACTGACCCTGGGGGAGGAATGAGCTGAGACCAATATAAAGAATGAGAGAGGCTGAATCCCTTACATCTTACTTCTTTTCTTGCTAAATCACTTTATTTCCTGTGACAGTCCTCTCAGCTCCATGGGCTCTTCAAAAACCTGTAACTTCTATCTCTCTTTTTGTTTCCTGGTCTAGCTCATTATAGCTACTGATAAAGGAAGTTGGTAAATGAGAACATAACAGAATATTATGGTATTAAGTAGAATTAGCTTATTCTCGCTATAGTCTCAAAACTTACTGTAAATAAAACATCAGAGTAATTATAGATTCTATCTATGATGGCTCTCAATATAAAGGCAAAAAAGAAATGTGAGGGGAAATAAAATAGTGTTTTGTGTGGGATTATTTTTGGCTTCAGGATGAGAAAAATGGGATATTCTCCATTCAGCATTAGAGCTGCACAGTGGGACTTATTATATTCTTTTGCCTGTACTGGGTGTTTCAGAGACCACCTGGCCAAGTTAAACAGACTGATATAGCACTGCAGACATCAGAGTTATGCTGTGAATGGCTATGACCATTTGAACATAAATCCCAGACTTTATAATGAAGAGTTCTGTAGTACAATACATGTACAAGTAAAAATTGGAGTAAGTTTGCAACTCTTGATAAGCCTGTTTAGTTCATATTAGCAACTTCTATTAGTAGTTGACTCAGGTGCTGAGGTTCTAGGGATTCTGGGTAAATTGGCAAAGCAAGTGTATTTTCAGACAGTGTTCTGAAATAAATTCTGGTGCCTATAGAAACACTGGCATATCACACAGTATGGCAAATATTAGAAACTGCACTTATAACAATAATGTAATGGTGCCTGTTATACAAGTGTTTTGGGGGATTTGATTTTGTCTCTACAGTCTCTCACCAGGCCTGAGGGTATGTTAGCTATCTAACTGGGTCAGAGGCCACTCCCTGACACTGTGGGAAAAAAAGGAACAGAGTCATTTCTGAGACAAAAAGGACTTGTGATTTTATTTTTATTTTTGCACGCTGAAACACAGTTTAATGGTTGGCCACTCAAATAAAAGCACAGGATAAACAACTATTTACAAGGACAAACGTTTTCACTTCTGCTATCCCTGAGTCGTTCAAGGCACAGAATCAAAAAAGAAATCTTCTGGTTGTTTCATCTCCCTCAAAGCACAGGGAAGAAGCCTCCAGGATCAGAGCCCCACCCAGCTCCAACTGGAAACCCTCACGGCGGCCTTGGAAGGGCTTTTCCTCTTTCCAAGCAGATCCCTTCCTGGGGAAGCCGTTTCTTCCTTGCACTGTTCTTCGCGTCCAGCTCATCGGAGCTAAAGGCCTCAAGGTGCCCAAAAAGGCGCTCCCAGTTAGCCCAGGCTGAATGCCTTCATATAGCTGCGACCGATATGGGAGTTCTGAGGAAAACATCTGTCCTGGGTGACTTCTTGATGGCCTCAGAGAGAGAAGCGGCACTGCCCAGGGTCTCAGCCACAGGACATCAGCGGCCGGTCTTGCTCGGGCGGCGACAGGCCCTCACCGGCCTTGGCCTAGAAGACGACGTTTCTGGGCTTGGTGCTGGGGATTCTCCGCTTGGAGCGCAGCCGGCGCACAGCCTCCCTGAGATGCTTGGGTTGCAGCGGGGCCGTTTCCCCCCACCTCTCGCACACGTCCAGGGCCTCTTCCACCACCTCCCCGACGAAAACCTTGGCCAGTCCGGCCACGGCAATGACCACGTTCGGCGCCACCGAGGTGCCGGCGGCACTCTGGATCAGGCGTTTCACGATCGCCCTGGGAAAGGCGGCCCGGCGATACACCTCATAGCGGCTCAGCTGCTCCTCGGACAGGGACGACATCAAGAGCTGCCCCTCCTGAGCGTCCTCTTCGCCCACTTCCCGCTTCCTCTCTTTCTTCTCCTGGGCGTCTCTTTTCAGTCTCTTGGCGGCAGGAGGAGGTGACCGGGACTCCGTCCTCGCGCCTGCCCGCAGGTCCCAGTCATCCTGGCTCCCGACCCCGCCTTCCTGTTCAGAGGCTTTCTGCAGTTCCTCACATCGGCGCCCCGGGATTCTGTGGGCGTCGCTGGCCCTGGGGCCCATGCCGGCGACGGCACGCTGATGGCACACACCTGTGTCTTCAGCTCTGTTGCTGCGTGACAAGCTGGCCTTATTCATCCTGGCGTGGGCAGAGGCAGGGCCTGGTGCTGGGATGTCTGATCAGCGACCTGCAACGGGAATGTTGAGCAGCGTTAGGGTCCGGTTCTCTGTGTGTTTTCTATCAGTTTATAGCACATGCCCAGAGACATCCCCACTGACTTCCTGGTTGCAGCCTGGAGGTCGGAAATCTCAGTCTGAGTCCTTCCTCTGTCCAAGCCGCAACAGAGAACCAGCCTTGCGAACGGTCCCCCGGGATCTGTGATCTGTGGGACGGGAGGGAGGCCCAGTGTCTTATATAGCGCTCCGGTGATGGGCGTGCACTCAGTCGCCTAACCTCCTTCGGTTTCCCGAGTCACCTGACTGCTAATCCCATTGGTGGAACTACCGCCCACGCCTTAGGAGAGGGGCCGCCGCAGGGACCTGCAGCGCAGGGGTGGCTGGGAAACTTAGGTTGCTACCTAGTTCCTGCAAGTTTACGTTTATGTTAACAACCGAGGGAAATGTACACGTATAAATAAGACCTAACTCTAAAAACCAGACGAAGCCTTTCCATTCAGCAGCAATTCTTTACTGGGTGCTAGGACAACATGCTGGACGGGGAGGCAAATACAGAAACTGAAATTTCCCGGCTCCCCTATGTGTGCGTTCCACCATGTTGCGATGGGCATTTGACATTCTACTTTTCAAAGAGAGAAAACTTGGACTTCTCTTTCTTGAGCATGGATGTGGTACCTGGAGTGATTTATCCTTCTTTTGCCCAGGATGGAAGTGCCTTGAATTCTAGAGAAGGCAACCGTGACCTTCCTGAGAGGTCGAACCTGTGCCAAAGCCGCTGCCTCCAGGCTTAACATGCCCTGAGAAAAAGAAAACTCTACCTTAGCGGGCTGTGATACACTTCCTGATATTTCTGTTGGAAACTTATGACAATTGATATGTGGTTTTCAATGTCCTAAAGATCATGAAATTCCATGATATAAAATTTATGAAATAAGTGAACACTTACATTTTGTATAGCGTGGGACAAAAGTAGGATTACAGTTGTAAGTATGTGAAACCCAGAGTTTATTCTTGTATTATTATTTATTAATTATTGTATACTTTATATATAAACAGCTGCAAATCTGCTTTTGTCCCACCCTGTATGTTTTATAACTGTGACGGTTTATATTAACGATTTGATACAGAAAAATGTATTATTAAGGATTAAGTCTTATGGCCTTAAGTAGGAGTGTTTTGGGAATTTGAGCTGCCATTTTTGATTGAGCTTTGTTGTCAATGTTGGCTTAGATTTTTAAAAATGGATTTATTGAAAGATAATTGAGCATTTCTACATTTAGAGTATTGAGAAAATGTTAAAAATAAGATTACCTACTTGCTTAAAGGAGTGTAAAGGCTGACTCTTAGACATAAGTTTATGGGTATTGTATAATCAGAAGGAGCTAAATTTGGACACTAAGAAATATGATCTCTTGAAAGTAATCTTGGGGATCCAGACTGATCAGGGTTTTTTTTTTTTTTTTTTTTTTAATTAATTAATTTATTTTTTCAAATACATTTGTTTCTGCCTTCCCCTCACCACTTTCCCTTGCCCCCTCCCTTCCTCCCTCCCTCAACTCTTCCCCTTTGGTTTTGTCCATGAGTCCTTGCTATATGTTCCTTAACTTTCCCCTTCCCTTCCTTTTCCCTGCCCCCCTCCCTCCTTCCCTCTTGTCTCTGTTGGTATCAGGTTTTAATTGTCAAAGTGTTAAAGAAAAGACTTTGCCAATATGGCAGAATGACATGCAATGACACCATTACAAGAATCACAGGGTATGGTACTGAGTAAAAAATATATTGCCCTGACTGGAGTGACTCAGTGGATTGGGCATTGTCCTGCAAACCGAAAGTTCAGTGATTTGATTCTCAGTGGGGGCACAAGCCTGGGTTGTTAGCCAGGTCCCCCACTGGGGGGCATGTGAGAGGCCACTCATTGATGTTTCTCTCACACATCAGTGTTTCTCTCTCTCACTTTCTCCCTCCCTTCTCCCTAAAAATAAATACATATAATCTTTAAAAAAGAATATATATTAATATATGATAGAACAATTAGTTTTGTTACTCCTTTAGGATGCTTCCAAAATAAACATCAAAGATGCCAAACAGATATTGATGAACTCATTGAATATATCAAACTATTTCTTACTTTTTAAAGCTAAGATGGTTCAATTCCATTTTCATGAGGTCAAAGTTATATCTTAGATCCCTGGATAACCAAGTTAACTTGTACAAATAATATTACAGTTTGTAATCATAAATTCTATGACTAACTTAGGTGACTTACCAGATATGTATCACTTATCACAATGGACAAATGAGAAAAAGAGCACAGATGTTTCGAGAAAAATCCATCATTACTGAGAAACAACTTTTAACCCTGCAAGTATAGAATTACAGAAAATAAATGTCTTAAGAGATCTTAGTAGTTCTTGATAAATGTTTTTAATTGCAGAATTCTTTGTTAAAATACTCCTTGGATGCTTAACATGTAAAGTAGAGGGTTGCACTGGCTGAAGATAGAGTAAATGAGGGGTCTGCAAATAAACAGCCTAATAATTCGTATGCCACCTTCTTCCCCTAGCCCCTGTTCTTTTGTCTTCCATCAAAATTGCCCTCTGAAATAATTTTTAAAATGTGAGAATTCTAGTTCTGTGAAGCACCATTGTTAAGTCACAGATCTAGTCAGATGCTCTCATTTTAGAATTTAGAACGTGGCAACTTGTCTGAAATTATTCAGTCAGGCAATGGCAAACCTGGGACAAAACTGAGGTAGGAGAATTCTTTCTATATAGTATAATTTGATGATTCACATTTATTTATCTCTCACATAATGGACTGAATTAAATGTTTAACATGGATAAAAAGCTATGCTCCACATCATTAGTTGCTCATGGGTCCAGATTTGTTCCAATTACATTATTCCATCTTCCTCTTGGGCAATGTCATCATTTCTATGGTGGAAATTTAGCTTCAAAGGAGTCCAGGTGGCACTAAAATCTTTTTCCCTTTTAAAAAATTAAAAATATAATTGTGGTAAAACACACATCACCATCTTAACTACTTTTAAGTGTAAAGTTCAGTAGTGTTAGTCAATTAACATGGTCCTGAAACCAATCTCTAGAACTTTCTTCATCTTGCAAAACTGAAGCTCTGTACTCATTAAACAATAACTCTCCATTTTTTACTCCCCTCATCCTATGACACCCACCTTTCTACTTTGTATCTTTAAGAATTTGACTACTTGAGGCAGTTCATCGAAAAGGAATCATATTTGTGTTTGTGTAACTAACTTATTTCAGTTAGCATGATGTCCTCTGGGTTCATCCATGTTGTAACATGTCCGAAATTCCTCCCCTTTTAAGCGTGAATAATAGTCCCTTGAATGTATAACTAAATTTGCTTATCCATTCATCTGTCAATTGATAGTTGAGTTGCTTTCACTTTTGGCCATTGAAGAATGATGTTATGAACATGGGTATATAAATATCTCTCAGAGACCTTGCATTTACTTAATTCTAGCAACATAGATATGTTTCAAATAGATCTTGGCTTTAACCTGATTATTTTGAAGTTAACATCAGGTAACTTTATAAATGTTTGTTGTGGACTCAGGACTCAGAAGAAGCATCATTGTAGTAATATAGGCATTTTACACAGAAAAAAAAAGCATTATAGTGAAAAAAGACTACTAACTTATAGAACTTATAGGAAAGTATATCTAATTTTCTTTTAGAAATTGAGGTTTGATTGACATACATTATATTAGTTTCAGATGTACAATACAATGATTTGGTATTTGCATATATTCCAGAATGATCACCATAAAAAGTCTAGTTACCATTGATCACCCAGGACATCATTATGTATCTCTAATTTTAAAATGAAAAGATACAAAGAAGATGCTAGGTGAGTAAATATAGATTACCATGGTAAATATTTTTATATTGTTATGTGAGCTGAAAAATGGTGTTTAGAATCTAATCATCCCTTGCTTCCTAATTGTCCCATTTACATAAGACATAAAAGCCATTTACAGATTACATGAACATTAATTCTACTCTTTTAATATTTTTTGTTTATTTTTTTCCATGTATTAGATAATACTGACATGTGGTTAACAACAGAGTTATATTCTGAGAAATGCATCATTCGGCAATTTCATTGTTGTGCAAACATCAGAGGTTTACACAAGCCTGGATGATATAGCCTACTGCTGTAATCATATGTGTTATACTTTTATACAAATGACATCACAGTAGGTTTGTTTATGTCAGTATCACTACAAACATGTGAGGAATGTGTTGTGCTGTGATGTTATGATGGCTACAATGCCAGTAGGCATTAGGCATTTTTTAGCTCCACTATAATCTTATGGAACCACCATCAGATATACAGTTTGTCCAATATGTGGTTGATTGATTGAAAAGTACTTATTTGATGCATGACTATAGGGATAATGAAAACAGTGATAAAGCCAGAATGAGACATACAAATATACATACAAATACACACATTGTGGTTTAATTCAGGATAATTTAGTTTACTAAGCTTGCTAAAATATTCTCCTCTTATCCATCTACCTACCTACCTACCTACCTACCTATATGTATTGGTTTTTAAATATACAAATATTTCTAGGAGAAGAGTCATGAGATATTAGAATAAAAATACCTAGAGTAAACACTATTGTATTGATAATAAAATCTGCAAGTCACAAATGAGACCAAATTTGTGAGTTCTACTGAGCATACTCATGAAAAACACAATATGAACAGGTACAACTTCTACAAAGTTATTAATCTCTCCAAATTTAACATCATTCTACTGCAAGGATAAATTTTTATCTAATACATAGTAAGAAAACAAAATCAATGAGAAGTAATTTTAAGAACTTTAAACATCACTTTAAACAAAACTTTCAAATCCCTCTAAGGCATTTTCATCTGAGTCTTAGCTCATGAATGCTTTTCTGATATCCCAGT